TATATACTTAATTATACAGCAGTAATTATAATAATGTCCTCCTGAATGGGCACGGCGGCCAATCTCACTGAGACTAGCCATCTGCGCAGGAGATATTATAGTGCGCAAGTGTACGCGAAGACACAACGTCCATTCTCTACTCCTTTCACTCTCAAATTCCGATGGGACGACAATTCATGAGAGATCTGGCGCTAGTCCGATCGACTGTTTTAACTTTTACGTGCTCTCCGAGGCACGGGGATGAGAGAAACACCGCCAACTTTCCAACTTTAGGCTGTTATTGGGACTTTCTTAATAGAAACACTCAATATTAAACTTTGTCCCAGCCGGGACACTGACCTAGGACCTCTATCTACTACACCACGTAACAGTAATTATAATTACTAATGGAATATCTATACATAAATAGTACGTAAAAATACCTTTCTCCTCTATTTGTTAACCAAATTTCTTCTTCATTTTGTTCTCTTTAGAAACTAAAAAATTTGGCGATTTTTTTTATATATAGGTAGTTAAGTTCTATTCATATACATATGTTTTCCTCGAATTTTCAATAATGATTATGATCGACTACTGGGCGAACACTAGTTATTATAAATTTTCCTTTGATGTTATTGCAAAAGTAGAGTGGTCAGTACTCCTTTATCCCCTAAAAGCTATCATGACTTATTTTATTTGTTCACTATTAACATTTTTGTATAACATGCTATCTTAAAAGAAAAAAAATTGTGTCCATTTTCAAAATGCAAACTTTCAGCGTGTCAATTTTTAAAAAGCTTCATTTTGTTTTGCTATTAAAGCATAGTCAACGGAAACACATACAATTAGTAAAGTTTATTAAGCTTTTATTACACGTAACTTAACTTTTAAAAAGACAAAGTGTTTAAATCTCTTACTATTAATTAAACAAAGTGCGATCATATTTAACGTAACGAGAATTGAATTATAAAATAAAACATTTCGGACGAAATAAAACGATGTTCTTGTAGATGATAACAAAATGAGCTTCCAATTCAAGGTGCGAAACGTTGACCCTAATATAAACAAAATTATAATAACAAATCGACACCGAAATTTTATCCTTAATACTTTGTAATAAGAGCATTTTTTTTAACAATGAAGGTAAAAAATGTTTGTTATTTTAAAACATATAGCAACATGAAATTTATAAATATAAATATTAGTTTGTACGATTAACAGCTTTGTTTCTTGTGTGTTAAGATTATATTTTCGATGCTCTTTTATAAAATTGTATTTCAACGTAACGGGCCTGCTATCAGTAACGAACGTGTTTCTTATCAGTGATGCTTCGATTACATCAAATAGTACTTGCGCGTTTACAGATGAGCTTGGATGGATATATTTAATATACTAAGCACATTTCGATCTAACTTTACATGGCCAAAAGTATAAAAAAATTAAGAAATATTTTTTTACTTGGGTCATGATTCATAGTTCATTTTTATGTTAAACTATATTTTGTACTTAAATATTAAATGCCAGTTGTAATGTAAGCGAAGTAAGAGCAAGACAATACGAGAGAAAACAATTTTAATATAAAAACTTGCCATAATTTTTGTAAAACCATGCGTTCCATGGATTATTCATGGAATATTATTACCAATTATATTTTACTAATACATATTTAATTAGCACGTTAGCATTAAAACGAAGCACTCCACAGCAAAAAAACAGAAAAAAATACATGCAAATGTCATACTTACCATGACATAACGTTCCGATACGTAAGTTTAATATGTTTTTAATTTTATTTTCTATTTATGACGACTATAGAATCGTGAATCATCTTGTGTAATCCTCCAGAGTCCAGATGTAATAATAAACATACCTACCTCAAAGATCAAATACTACTTTTCTTGAATAAAAATAAAACGTCTATCATATACGGTTAATCCCATAAATATTATAAATGCGAAAGTTTGGATGGATGGATGTTTGTTACTCAATCACACCGGAACGGCTGAACGGATCTAGATAAAATTTGCTACAGAGATAGGTTAAAGTCTGAAATAGCACATATAGTGTACATACTTTTTATCTTAAAAAAAAGTACGGTTCACGGTACCTAAGGACAAACCAGAACGATGCGAGAGTCAGTCGCTACTTTTATAGGTATAACTGTTACTAGCGACTCACCCTCGCTTCGCTCGGGTTCGTCCCTAGCTTGCTTTCCGATACAAACTTTCATCCCCAATTTACACCATTAAGAGGTGATTTACGGGATAAAAAGTCCCATGTCCTTCCCAGGGCCTCAAACTATCTCCTTACCAAATTTTATCTAAATCGGTCCAGTAGATCCAGAGATTACACTCTACAACGTCACAAACTCACAGACCCACAACCTTTACCTCTTTATAATATTAGTATAGATTAGTGCAGCTGCAGGCAGACATAGCGAGCGGAACAGCAGGCAGCGCTAGTACGTTATAAACGCTTACCATAACATTTTCTCGACAAGATTTTTATATCTTACTTCTAAGTAATGAGGATTATATAATTCTCACACTTCTCAGAGCTTCCGAGTAATATGACTCAGTAGTTGAGATGTGACCTCTGACTGTTCCCAGGCAGGTCTCGACAGTGTTTTATGAGTTTTTTGTATTAAATGCAATATAACATAACTGTTGTAGTTAACTTATATTTATGGTGTAAAAAATTAAATTGTTTAGCCTTGATGATATGCATTGTTATTGTTTATTTCATATTGCCTAGATATGAAATTAGAGATAATGAATTCTATTTATAGGTTTGTCAATTCATAAAAACAGCAAGGAAACAATTGAAAGATATACAGTTTTACACATAATAGTTAGTATACAGATAGCGTTTTAAATAGGTACTTGTATCACTAGATTCTCGTTTATCTACATACATATGTATCCGGACCATACTCTAAAAATGACTAGTTAAAAGTTATTAAATAATGACTTTCAAGTCGGTAATATACAGTCGAGAAAGTGGTATTTAATAAATAATTTCATGTAAACTGCAATTGAAATGCACAGTTTATCTATAGGTACTAATATTAGAATGAGGCATTGTTTGTTCGTTCGTTCGTTCGTTCGTTCGTTTGAAGCAAGTGTGAATCGCTAGTATGAATATAAATTAGTAAGTAGGTAATAAGTATATGATTTTCGTTCCAATCGATAATTCTTTCTGGTAATATTTTTTTATCTGGGGTACAGTCTGGTTGACCGACTTCAAATATATTCGGTTGTATGTTATTTTTGTGGTTATGTCATGCCGTTTTCAAATTGTAAATCGATTTTTATATTTCATAATAATACCATATTATTGTCAAGAAAAAAATCAACTCTTAGGAGTGAAATATTTACTGTTAACATTATTTACTGTTGTAATTTAAATAAAAAAATATTATGTTTGTCAAAAAAATTTTTGTCGATGTATAGCAAAAATTATTAAATTAATATAAAAGTTTATCCTAACCCTTCTCTTGCCATGGGAATTTTATCACCCAGCGAAGATCAAAACCAATTACACTAAACAAAATGCGTCTTGCATCCCTTTTGTCCATCCTATTCTTGACCTGAGCTTAATCGCTTAAGACCCTACTACCGGGTCTATTGTGGCCCAAAAAAAAACAATGAAATGAGTGTCGGAACTGACAATTTCCGATCAGAACCGGTTGTGACTGGTTACAACCGCCATCTCATAATGTGTTGTTTATGGTAATTTAGCTTTATTTTGCTTCGGCATGTTTGTTTTTTGCATGGGATGCTGACTTTGATAGGATTAGTGGTATGTATAATAATGTCAAAACTTTTACGTTGTTTGAAATTGTACATAGATAAGAAATATTATATTATGAGTTGTTATATCAACAAATTGTTATTGGATATAAAAATATTATATATTAACTTACATGTCGTCTTAAATTTGAGCCATGCATTTATAACAATTAATATTTATATCAGTCTGAAACTTAAGATGGAAGTAGAAAAGTAGTTAAACAAGAGTAAAAGATATATATTAATTATTTTACCATTTTTCCTTTACTATATTTTAAATAAAACTTTAAAATATCTTTAAGAAAGTCTCAAAGCTTTCAACCCTTCAGTACTGTAACTAGGCGCAATCAATCATCACAGTGTACATTATATATGCCCTTTTGTTACGTTTTTGCAACATCCCCCGAGGTGTTTATGCAAATATAAGCAATTAAGTTTCTTCACGTAACGGCCCTTGCGAATTCTTTGTTTGTTCGCAGCTGGACTTAGAAAAATATTAGACAAGATAGATATTATTTTTAATATTCTATTTGTACAGAGTTCTTTTATCATCGTTTCGCAAAAATAAACTACTAGCTACTGCGGTTTTACCCACGTTTATTTTTCTATTTATTTTGCAATCACTAAATATCCGCTTTGTGTAAAACAGGATGATATGCTTGGAATGAGAAGCTGAGTTTTTTAATTGACATGATTGAAATGAAACTTTACTCTATTTTTAAAGTCAGATTCCTTCAATCAATTGTTTTTATCCATTTACGAGATATACCTGATTAAATATATTATACAGATATTTTTTAAAACCGTTCATTTGTAATAAGAACGATAATCAATATTAGGTAAAATAAATATAATTACTTGTGTAAAAGTAACTCTAACTCTATCTGGCTGTTACTGCTGAACATATTTTAATGAAATTCCGCAAGGATATCGACAAGGATTGCATCCCGCGGACGGACGTACACGATGCAACCTTACATCCTTGTCCTGCTGACCATGAGAGCAAAATCGCGGGAAAATATAAAGTATTCTATTTTAAGGGAGTAAATTTTGAAATACCATAAAAAATATGTATAAGTCAAAACGTGTACAACTAGTAAATTGTAAGTAATGACCTTCACTTATACGCATTGAAACTTGACTTTAATCATACTTATAGTTTTATATTTCATACATAGTTGTAAAATTAATTACATGTTACACGTGCGTGCTGTGGAATTATTTACAAACATGAAAGGCATCATCGTACTCGCCGTCGTACCTTTGGTTTTCGACCAATTTTACCAAAAATATGATTTTAGACGAATATTTTCTATGGATTCGAAAAATGTTGCTGCTAGAAATATTGAAGAAGTACAATTACTCAGGCGAAAAGAAGAAATTATATCTAATCATAAGTTTATATTGCCAGAGTTCGAAAATGTAGGCCAAAAAAGATTCAGAATAACCTACAATAGGGCCAAAAATAAAACGAGCAATATGAACGATATCATAGAAGACGATAAGTAAAATCATGTCAAAGAGAGGATGTAGCTTTAAAAAAATACTCAAATGGAAGAATTATCTTTTCTTGATTGATGATGATTAGAAAATTTTCTGTTCAAATGGCTAAAGTTAATGACGGATCTATTAAATGCCGTCAAAACCTTGGGTAATCTAGTTAATTTTATGAAGTATAAAATGATCATTTTATGCGCAATTTGGATGAGAAATTGTACGTATTAATGAATTAATTTATATAAAATAACTGTAAAATATGTGTCTTGCAATACAATAATTATAGCTTTTATTTTTATTCTATTGTTTAATTGATATAATTATATCTCATGAAGAAGTAATTTAATAATATCTCCCAATAGATGTATTAATTAGACAATGACAGTGAGAAAAATAAAAGTATAATATATATATGTATTCGTCATATTTCTAGAATAAGGAATAAAAATCAAGCGCGGGTCCACCGTTATGGGCACGGTGGGCATGCCCACAACCCTTTTTCGTGTGGCTGTGACCACAATCTTTTTTGAGGAATGGATCCGCACTTGATAAAAATTGGTATTTTTAGAATAATTTCTGAAGTGGAAACCTATTATGAGGTTTTTTTGATTCAATTTTACCCTATTAATCAAGGAATATTTGAACAGAATGGATATATATGTTCAATGCACCAGTATCTAGTAGGTAATCTAATTTTAATCTTTATCGAAAAAGGTGCCACCAAAATTACCGGCTTAATTGAGAAGATTACTTTGAATCGCTAAAAGCTTGTAGTAGGTTGTTCTGAAATACTATCACTAAATCTATATATATTTATAAATATGGCAAAATAAAAATATAATATAATTAGATAATTTATTTCTTAATTGGTTATTTTTAATAAACGTTAAACGAATAATGTGTTTTATTACAACAACCACATAGGATATAGTGACCGCCATACATAAGTACCTACATACACAAATCTTTTAAGAATTCAGTAAATAAAAGACGAAATAATTTCTCAAATCACAATGAACACCTTATACATTTTAACTAAAGAGAATTATATAGCATATAATTAAACTAATCATAGCCATACTGACCATATTGACCCTTAACCCGTAATTCGACCCAAGGGTCATCTGGACCACTCCCGACGAAACTGGACAAAAGTGGACGGTACAAAAAACAGGGATTGGTGTACTTCAACAAAAGATGGCTCTTTCTATACACACAATTCCAGTTTGACCTTATCTTAGGGCCCTTTGAAGGGTTGGATTAGAGGTGTAACGGATAAGTTATGAATAGGGTTTGTTAAGATTCTTTATGGTTGTTTACAATAAGCTGCGTCAAGATTTTTTATCACCATTAGCATTTGTTAACATGAGAACTTATGTGTCTTATCCATGCAAATATTACAAATAAATCATAGGAATGATATATCAAAATATTATGAATTTAGTGCCTCTTTGGTCTAGGGGTTAGCATGTTTGGCTGCTGATCCTATAGCCCAGATTCGACCCAATACCTATTGAGTTTAACTTTCAGTAAAGCCTCAATTTCACCTTATATATAGAAGCTGGCTCTTGATGATGAACAACTGAAGAAATCTGGGCTTGATGTCTAATCAGGTGGGTCAAATTCTGACGATAATTTGGGAGAGATATCAGTTGAATGCTTTGTAGTAAAGAGTATCAAGACGATTCAAAGTACATATCTATGATATTAAAATTCCGCATTCGATTTCCAAAATACATATGACAATTTTAACAATCTAACTCATTTTTAAAATTAAGATTATCACATAAAGTCAAAACGATTTCCGTCAAAATGTTTTACAATTTTTATATGACTCTAGTTTTGAATTATTTTTGACGTCATTTTTTACTAGTTTTAATTTCTTAGTTTAATTCAGATAACTCTTAAAGTAAAGTACTAAAAATTTGATGTCGGAGCTTGTTTGACGGGGCTATAATTTCAAAAATAATATTTAATACTGAAATGGCTTACTATTTTTAAGTTTATTTACACTACAATTCGTATGTAAAAAACATTAAATGACTTCTAATCAACGAATACGTACCTACGAGTACGTATAAACAAACAAAAACAGTTTCGAATTTCTCAGATGAAATGTAATTCTTGCGTATGGCGTATTCATATTGATTTGTATTGTGATATGGGAACCTAGAGATAGTGAGAGTGGGTGCATTTACATAAATGGTGTTTTTATTTTTTATTAGAGCTTACTTCGTGCATGCTCAGTTTTCAGGTCAAATATGACGTAATACTTTATATATATACGTGTTACTTTTTTCTATAGATATGTTTTTGACTATTGCACATAAACTGATAACAGCAAGTCGAAAACAACACCATTTTGCGACATAATATTTTGAAGCTATACTTTTTTTGGCACGTTTGGAAAAAATTATGAGAGTAAAATTTTTACGACGCGCGCACACCGACAGCCAAAAAGCGACATGATGAAGTTAGCTGCATTCCTTTTACAAACAGAGAGTACATACGGGTTGAAATCTTAAGCTATTTTTGTTCTGTTATGCCAAAGAAGTATAACTTCTTACGTGCATACATAAGTACACACACTCGTCTTATTTGTGTGTGTTATATCATCGTCTAATGTGAATCAAGTTTCATAATTCTTTATTTAATCTTTTAATGAACAGCTTACACCACAAGGTTCACAAGTATTCCTATATATTACGTTCCATATAAATTCCAAAAAAATCCAAAATTTGGATGCATAAAGATATTATCTATACATATATAAAACTGTAGAGGTCGAATGTACATAGAAAAATATGCTAAAAACCGAGTAAGGGGGATGTAAGAAGAGAAATAGAACAAATCCAGATGTTTTCATTTTTTTTGTTTCTCTGTCTGTTTGTACGGGCTAATCTCCGAAACTGTTAGACCGCTGTAAATAAAATTTGGATGGTGGTACCTTATATCCCCGGTCAACTTTTTTGATACTTTTCATCCCGGAAAATTGACAGTTAAACTAACTGTCAGTTACCCTTACTGACAGTTAAACTAACTAACAGTTAAACTGAATGACAGTTAAAGTAACTGACAGTTAAACTAACTAACAGTTAAACCAACTGACAGTTAAACTTACTGATAGTTAAACTAACTGACAGGTAAGCTAACTGGAGGTTTTACCAGCTAATGGTTAAACTGACGGTTAAAGTAACTGACTGTCAAAGTAACTGTCTGTCAAACTAACTGACAGTTAAGTTAACTATCAGTTAAACTAACTGACAGTTAAAGTAACTATCAGTTAAGGAAACTATCAGTTAAACTAACTGACAGTTAAGGAAACTATCAGTTAAACTATCTGACAGTTAAGCTAATTAGCCGATAACCTAACTTACTGTTAATCTAACTGACAGTTAAACTTACTGATAGTTAAACTAACTGACAGTTAATATAACAAACAGTTAAACAAAATTACAGTTAAAGTAACTGACAGTTAAGTTATCTGACAGTTAGAGTAACTGACAGTCAATCTAACTGACAGTTAAACAAACTAACAGTTAATATAACAAACAGTTATATTAATTGACAGTTAAAGGAACTGACAGTTAAATTAACTAACAGTTAATGTAACTGACACTGGAGGTTAAACTAACTGACAGTTAACTGTTAAACTTTGCCGTTCATAAAACTGACAGTAAATCTTAATGACTGTTATCCTTACTGACAGTTCAAAAACTGACAGTTAAGCTAACTAGCAGTTAAGTTAACTGACAGTTAAGCAAATTCACAACACACAACAAACAAATAATTAAATATAAATGTATAATATAAATTTGTTTTTTTTTTAAGTTGTTTGTTTTTTTAAAGAGAAAAGGGGGAGGAGAGGAGAGGAGCGGAGAGGGGATGAGAGGAGAAGAGAAGACAGGTGAAAAAGACATGCGAAGAAGACAAGCGCAGTAGACAGGCGAAGAAGATTTGCGAAAAAGAACTGCAAAAGACAGGCCAAATCTCAACAATAGGCTCCTCTCTTCTCACTCCTCTCCGCTCCGTTCCTCTCATCTCCCTTTTCTTTTATTTTCCTGCAGTAAAAGGTATCTTAAATATCATAACCCGAGTAATAAGTTATCAGTACTATCAGTACAGTAGAAAAATAATATTAAATTTTTAACATATTAATTACTAGCAGAACAACAGATTTTGTCCACGCTCAGACTACAAAAACCTATTTGGATGCATAAAGATATTATCTATACATATATAAAACTGTAGAGGTCGAATGTACATAGAAAAAATCCGAAACTCCGAAACTGTTAGACCGCTGTAAATAACATTTTGCATGGTGGTACCTCATATCCCCGGTCAACATTTTAGATACTTTTCATCCCGGAAAATTGACAGTTAAACTAACTGTCAGTTACCCTTACTGACAGTTAAAGTAACTGACAGATACACTTATTGACAATTAATCTAACTGACAGTTAAAGAAACTGACAGTTAAAGTAACTGACAGTCAAAGTAACTGTCAATCAAAGTAACTGTCAATCAAATTAACTGATAGTTAATCTAATTAACAGTTAATCTAACTGACACGTAATGTAACTGACAGTTAAACTGACAGTTATACTAACTAACAGTTGAAGTAACTGACAGTCAAGGAAACTGACAGTTAAAGTAACTGACAGTCAAACTAACTGACAGTTAAAGTAACTGACAGTTAAAGTAACTGACAGTCAAAGTAACTGTCAGTCAAACTAACTAACAGTTAAACAAACTAACAGTTAAGCTTACTAACAGTTAATCAAACTGACAGTGAAATTAACTCACATTTTATCGATTTTAAAAAAGCCTTTGAGTGTTTTCAAAATTTTTTTTTGCATTTTGTAGCCCTCATTCAGATCACACATCTTTTAACATCCCAAACAACCACGAAGTCCCAAAATCCACACCACCAGGGCGATGTTGCAATTTCGCTAAAAATCGGGACTATACTGAGCCACAAAAAAAAACAATTTCAATGTTAAAAATCC